GTTTAATTACCACATTTCAAGCTCCCACGTTTCCGCGACGGATTCTTCTTCAGTGTGCAACACAACGTGCCTTACGTCACACCGCTGTGCGTCCCCCGCCCTACAGTGCTTGGGAGACCCGCCGTGTAAGTATACAACAACGTTATTTTGTTCACGTAACGCCGAGTAAAGTCTGATTAATCACTTTTCCCCACCGTCTGCACCACGCGTTACCATGGTACTCGAGAAATGTCAAAGGTTAGCCTACCAGTGCTTGGGTTGAAATGGAGAGGGCGCACAGCGCTGCTCAGACTTCACCGGGCAACCGACCGCGAGAAACAGTGAAAACACAGCGAAAATGCAGCAACGCATCGCAGCAAAGCGACAAGTAAGTAACAGGAACGAGACAGAAGATGTCGAGGTGTTGGGATTATTTTTAAATCTTTAAATTTAAAAATCGTAAAACTTAAGGACACACATGTGGTGGTGTGTGTAGCATTAAACGGAGTGGGAGCTGGCGTACCCGTATTCTGAAGGGTCCAATTTATCTTTATTTTCACTGGACACTTTGACTGAAACGGTTTACTACTTTTATAATGATGGGTATACCATCAAACCTAAATGTCAACTTGGTTTTCTTAAAAAACGGAAACACCAATTGGTTGCTATCTATTCTAAGTGATCTTGTCTTGTTTTCTAATTCGTATGGCGTTTACTACATATGGCGGCTTCTAATTGAAGCAAAGAAGTAGCTTTTTAATCCGCCGATGTGAGACCTTCGTTAATCATGAGATCCTTCGAATCGAATACTCGATTAGCCAACAATAGTGTTGGTACCGGGCTGCAGCCTACAAACACCACACACTCTTATCAAGGCCGCCCTCGATCTGCCTGGTGACACGCACTGGGATCGATACATTTTATGGAGAGGAGAATATAGTCTGGGTTTTCCTCCTGCGACCGCCCCGGCGGCCTGCTCTGCCTGAAAACTCCGAGCGGAGGAGCGTGCTAACTGGGTACCGCTGCTGTTAGCAACTGAAGCGGGTCAAACTGTCCTCAGTCGCGGCGATCAGACGCCGCGTGGGGTCCCAGTTCCTGGTGACCTATTCGTCTTTTATCATGCCAACTCCACAACTAATGAACCCTCGTTCCACGAGCTCCTGTAGGCCCTGGATGTAAGTCCCTCCGGAGCGTATGGCTGAAACACGGCGCGTAGCAGGTGCCGAGCCTCGGCCCCCTCCCTCTCCTCCCTGGCCGCTTTCCGGGCACCCCTCCTTTCAACAGGCGAGACAGAATGAACCCGATCCACCCGTCCGGCACCCCCCTTGGAACCACTCAGACCCCACACAGTACCGGTTGTTCATGCCTCCTTCTCAACAGGATGGAACCCGATACCACACACCACAGGATCACACACCACGGCGCAACTGTAGTCACAACCCGCCCGTCACGCCGTACCTGCCTGACTGCCCTGGCGATGCGTTCCACCGATTCCTTTCTGCCAGTCCACGCGGTGACCAGGCGGTGGAGGTGGGGGAGCTGGCTGCCCCACAGCGGTAAGGGAGACGCGCGGGCTGGCCAGGGAGGCGGCCTGGACTCCCGGGCGAGGCGCCCGAGAGTCCTCTAGCTTGGCACAGGAAGGCCAGAGCGTGCGTGCGGCGCTAACATCTGCCTAACCTCCCCTCCGTCCTCTTTCACTGTGATCGCTGGTGACAGGCAGAGGCCTGGACGAGAGCAAAAGAGAGGGCGCGATCCCACTCGAGATGTATTCATCACAACCAATGTACACACTTATATAGGACACCCAAACCAGCCAAACTTATAGTCACAGTCAAAGGACGCAACACTGGATTTTGAACGCCGATATAGCCCGTCTCACTAAAAATGGATGCTTTAAAAGTACAATATTTGAGGGTACTGTGTACTCTTCCACTTGAGTAATCAGCCACGCAGGTGCCTCCCTCCCTTACTAGGTGTCTCCATCTAAGAGCGCCTGGGTCTTGATTTTATTGAAGTTCTTGTGGATGTAATCAACAACTGCTGAAAAAACCCACCCGTGTCCTGAGGGAGTTTCTATATACCAAAGTTAATAAATATCCAGAATCAAACTATGAATAACAAACTACTCAACTTTATATTCAACAACATTTAACGTCCCTGATTGGTTCATCTCCTGTGGACTATTAGATATTTTTAACCACACTTTGGCCTCAGGTGTTGGGAATGTGAAAGAGCACACGCGGTTCCAGCTGATTCCGGCCATCTGTCGCCTTCTCTCAGTTTTTGTGTCATTTTTATTTACCCAAATTTAACCCCGTTCGACGGCTGCGTCTGAAGAAGCGGGAGCCGCCTCCCAGTGAACAGCCACGCTTCACACACTGAGGCCGCAAGAACGAGTGAAGCCGAAAAAACGGCTGTAGCACGTGCGGGGCAAGGTTACAGCATTCCACGGCCGTTTGACGACAGGGAATACAGTTTCAAGCTGATCCCCAGAAACGATGATGGTTGAATTATGGACGGGTCCCGGGGGCTGGCACATTGAAATGTAAACACCATTGTCTCGACCCCGACAGGGCGCTAGCGTAACCAGGAACGCGTCTCCAATTTTATTTTATTGGGCCCAACGTCTGATCAAAGCTCAACGACACTCAATACACGCAGGCTGATGTGACTGTTGACGCTGGACCTGCAGATCTCTGCTCATCCCTTGAACCCTGGATGATGTCCCAAAAAGGCTTGGTGAACGTTTTCCCCAGAAGAGTTAATCACTTAGTACTGCGTGTGCTCGTGTGTGTGTGGTCGTCGTGTGCTGTGCTGTGTGTGGTGTGCTGTAAGACGTCTCCGCGTGGTGAGACCCACGCGGTCGAGCAAGTGAGAACAGCATGAGGCAATGAAGAACAGTGTTTAAATCCACACTCATCCAGTTTACGCGCGCCGCCATCGCCTCCGAACCGGGCAACAGTCTCTGTTCAGTGACACGCAATAAAAAGACAACACGTCTCCTTCCCAGTCCAGACACCAAGAGAGAGAAACGGACACGGAATAATCCCAAAACCTCAAGAAGAAGACAGAAACACCACACAGAGGACGAGGACGAGTCACAAACAAACATTCATTTAATTCAAACATCTACAAAATAACAACCATGCTCCACATTAAAGCACAGTCGAAAAAAAAAAAGGACAATATCACCCCCCCCATATATTAAAAACCAGACACGACTATTGGCTTAAAAACAAACACCAGGCGAGTAGAACAGGGTGAAATAATAGATAACAACATATAGGAGATTTGCGAGGACAAAGTTAAGACATTTGGCTCCTCAAGAGCGTAAACACCTGTGCGATTGCTGATGGTTCTGTGAATGTCCTCAGTGAACAGTGACCAGTGCGAGGCCAGCAGTCAAGCTGAGCCCTCTTATAAATAAGATCCCTGAGCTCCTCGAGACACGCCGAGGGCGGGATCATTTACAGCGAGCAGGCAGGAGAGACGGCAGCTTTTCAGCCTGACACATGATTCCACATTGTCCTGTTCCCGAACCCGGGAAGTGGAGAGAGATATTCGGGCCTGTGGTATAGTGAAACACCGACATCTTAGCCCTGTCAGGTAAGTGTACTCCTAAACAATTTAACCCTCCCGCCTTCTTCCTCCCAATCTCTTCTCCCATAACCGGGCAGGACAACAGCAGCTTACGCAAGCTTTTAGGTAGCAACAGGTTTGTCTGTCCTCCCTGGGAGCGTCCGGACAGCAGATGCGTCGCCAGCCTAAACTAGACGTGGAGAAGTTGCAGCACACCCACGGGAGACAGAGTCGTGAGGATGGGAGAGGCTGGGTGCTTGCTAGCATGGTATTTATTAGTCCGCAACAATCACCTTCTCTCCCATTTTAAGTTCTTTGTTATTAAATTTTATTATTTTTTTTTTTTTTTTTTTTTTTTTTTTTTTTCCCCTGCGCCGGAACACCGCGGCCGCGACCGGACCGCGGCCGGGCCGCGCCCCTCCGCGCGCCGGCCGGCGCCAGAAAACGCGCAGCAGGAAGCCAAGACGGCAGCGCCCGCCGGCGATAGCTAATTGACTTAACCGCGTTGGTGGTGGTAGAGGGTTACACAGACATACCTGTTTAAAGCTTTAAAGGGCTCTAATCTGTCACGTCATCCTTAACCAGTGCTAATACGACCTGGCTCTAATCTCGTATCTCCTGTATGCTAGTTGAGTTCTTCCATCTACCACTCGTCTTCAACCACCATGTTCAACTCAGAGAAACCTGCTGTCCACGCTTTATTGCAGGGTAACGCTGCGTTTCCACCGGACGCCCTGTCGAATGCGGCGTCATACCGTCCCTTTTCTGTCGTCTCCGGCGTCAGCGTCTGTGGTTGTCTCAACCTGTCACACACTTGACTCGTTTATCCGTTGAACCACAATGCCTTTTCAACAACAACTGTTTACGATCATTGGTGCTTTTAATCTCTAGATTTGAACCCAAGAATGACAAGGATTTTAGTCCCCCATCGGCACGGCGAGCCCAAAAAAAAAACAAAAAACGCTCTTGGACAGAGGTGGCATCGCATATTACAGCCGCAACGGGACACATACAACCAACATACACACCGGACGCTCCGCTTGTGTCCTGTCCAACCAGCGTGCGGAGAAGCAGTGATTGTTAAGGTCGGAACTGCTGCTTATTCAGTGTGTTGTGGTTTTAATCAGCAGGCTCTGTTGTTTGAGAGGAAGGAGACTGTCGGTAATTGCGGCTCCCGGTACAACTCTGACCAATCGCAAGCAGCCCAGCGCGCGAACTTCACACGGCGAGCCAGCTGCCCGCACAATGAACAAATGGTGGTGAAGCACCACACAACTCCTCATCGCACTCCATCCAACTGCTCTTCATCAACCTGCTTCTCTGTTATTCTCTGGATGTGAGAGAGCCCCCCAGACTGTCATGTACATCCTGAAACTTCAACAACCATACACTGTCTCCTTCAGTCTCAGTCGGAAGGCACAACTAATCATATACAGTAGGTAGCATATGTGAGGTTTAAAGACTAGAGCTATGTAGACTCGTACGCCTGTGATATTCACCCGAAAGGGAGAGCAGAGATGACATGTTGTATGTATTACTCATGGTGTTAGGCTTTAATCTGTTGCATGATCCCACACGTGAAGCAATCAATAGCAGAACAAATGTAGAGCGTAGAGAAACCGCCACATCCAGACAACTAGACAAGAAACTACCGATCATATCACAACGAAGAACAATGCAATCCCTGATCGGTCCTTTCCGTAGGTATGTGCACCGCGCTCGTTCGTGTGTGTGTGGTGGTGACTAGAGTTGCTCCTGTATCCCTACACCAAATGCATGCTCGCTAAAGAGGATAAAACGTACGACCTGTACTAATGGTGGCATGAAATCTAGACAATCGATCAGACACATCGAGAGGCATAAAAAAACGAGTTTGAAACAAGCGTCTCCAACAATTGGAGTATCTCAAGGGGGCGCGCTAAAAGATAGACAACCACATAACAAAGGTTGAAACCTCCACCTGAGTCTATACTGCTGTGTCCACCTTACCTAGCGCGCGGTATCCAAGAAGATTTCAGCTAGCATCGAGAGCAATTTAAGAGGCCTCAGGATTTTCAGTTTAGACATTAAACTGTTTGTTACCATTGCCATACATGTCAAAACATGTTTTGTAGTGTAAACCAGGTAGTGACCTCCTGGCCCACCACTAAAACGTACTCTACCGCCGTCGGCTTGTCAGCCACACGAAGCACCCCCCCGTTATCGGAGCAGGCTGAATGCTTGGCAGCGAAGCACACGATTCAATAAATCGACCAATCTGAAAAAAATGAGACACTAGCTGTCAAAGACTATAACACCTAGCCCAGCATATATGCCAGGGCAGATTGAATCAATTGTTGTTGAATTTACACAAACAGGCTAGATACAGATATACACCCAAATTATGTCTTGAACCGATGGAGCGCGAGTACATACGGATACCTGAATCTAAGCCCACCACCCCCCTCCGTTTTACAGAGTGCTATGGTAATCCAAAGAAGCGAGAGAAAAAGCATAGAGCATGTCAGGATGAGACAGACCTTTGCTGCGTGAATGCCACAGCGATACAACACTACAACCTCCGTGATCAGCCAAACATTATCCGGGAATAGATCAGAACGTGCACGCCAGAGTAGGTGGAAATCCTTACTTCAGAGACACATCATCTTCAACATTGCGCACCAAGAAAGTACTAGCTTAGCCTTGTTTGGGTCGAAACAAGCTGTCCATTGGCATAGGGATCTACATGCGGGAGGGAGTCTCGATACCTGCTCAACAGGCCCGTCGCGCACCGCAGGTAGCAACGTCCCGCGCCTCCTATGGTCTCCTCCTAGTCCCAACGTGACTCTCCCAGCCATTGGTATCCGGACAGGAGCGTCTGTTCTCCTGGCGCATGTCCTGGATCCTGACGCGCAGCGCACTGCTTCCTGGAACCTGTATAACGTAGGTATAGATGGCCATGTCTGTTAGCTCCTCGGCTTCACGATCTTCCAACTACTGCGAGAGGAGCCCCTCCGCGAGGGTGCCGTATGACACTGAAGTATTGAATTGAGTGCAGATTGAGACAAAAGAAGAAAATAATAATATCAAAGGGTCAGGCTTACTCTGTACTGGACATGGTATCTACGAAAAACAAATAAAAGAATTTAAAATTATCAAAAATTACAAATAAGCTTACATGAGTATTCTTAAGCTTTTCGAGTTGTAGCTACTTGCTAAGGTTATCCACGGATTATATTATCTTACGGTTTCAAGTTGAATCAAAAACATAAATATAAGTACATTTTACAATACTTTATTCTGGTTATTTCTTTATTTTCTATGCATTCTCATACAATTTCGCTCATTAAATTTACTTAATATACTTATGAGAGGCCGGGCCGACGGCTATTTTTATCCGCTTGAATGAGCGCGATCCCGCCGTGAGCTCAATGGGGAGCGCTTCACATATATTTGCACTCCGATTATTCATTTATCTTATTCGTCATTTTATGTATTATAAATATTTTCATTCTGCTGTATGTTTTATAAAAAAATCTTCTACTATATTATAGCATCCGGATGTCTCAATTTAGATCAAATACTCAATGTTTTGACCGGATCTTTACTGCCAACATCCAGTGGCAACCTCCTATTCAGTCTGCACTACATGGATATTCCATGCTATAAGCATCACTCTCTTCACACTGCACGTATGCGCAATGATTATTACGACGTAAAATCCAAAACAGTAAATAGCGGGAAGAGAGGAAGAAGAAGAAGACAGATAAATCGGAAGAGAAATGAAAAGAAGACGGGATCAAGGGGAGTTTATTTCCAAGCTTTACACCAAAGCATACTGAGCCTTCTTACAGGAGAGCCGGTTGGCTAGCAGGACCAGTCGGCGGAACCAGAGCTCGATTGCATCTTCCGTGTAACGTCCAACGTCTTACCTGCTCAATCAAGTGGCTCGTCTCAGCAGCAGCGATGCATAATCGACCGTACTAAAACCAACAACTGACATGAGATGATGCACAACCTGGCGGTGAGTAACCAGCCATCGTATACCCTCTCGTAACAAGGTGATGACATTATTCAATGCTCCCGCACCACCAACCCGCATTATCGGCTGTACGGACGTCGCCCGGAACAGCTCGCGCGCGGGTCGGTGGCTCGATCGTTCGAACTGTGTCCGTGTCAGTCAGTCAGTGGCGAGCGTCTACAATTTGACCACCTCTTAGTATATTTGTGGTTGCTAGCAAGTGCTCATTGTACTAGCGCCATCCCAGTAGCGAGTGGCACGGTACATGACATACTGTATGATAGTGACGATGGTAAAATAACGGCAGTATTCGTTTCTCTACTGTTGTATATGCTGTCTAGCCCGAGTATGACGAGTTTCCGTCTTCAGCGACGCGCTTGATGAGACAACCAGTCATACAATCGAACGATCCCTTGTTCGACTATTATCAACACTACTTTGGCCTTTAAAGATCATGAAAGACATGACTCAGAGTTCTTAACTTAGGCGGGAGTCATTAGACCCTAATAGCAGTCGCATCCGTCATTCTGCTTCCGAGTTTGTTAAATTTTTTTCATCTTAGTTCTATTTATTCTAGTGGACTGAACTAACATCACAGGATTAAGCTCGCCGCCTGGACTGTGTATATTTGGTGTGCGAGAGACGATAATGTATGAACGGCCTTTAGTCACTACAGAGCGGCACACAGCGCACCGCTCCCACGTTCCGCTGGCTTGGTCGCGCTCCCGTTTGAGGCGTATTTTCTGTATCATCTGCGAGGTATGGTAGAAGAGCCGACTGAGAGACCAAACACTCCCATCTGAACTCAAGCTACCGATGCCGCGCAAGGCAGCACGCGGGTATAGGCATGCAGGAGCGCATTAGATATTAGGCTTGATGATTACTATTCCAGACGTGCAGATTAAATAGAGCCTCTGAGCGGAGCATCACGTATACATGCTTATTATGGTCCTGTAGTACGTTCAGCTTACTCTGCTATCGAGTCAGAACAGAGAACAACCCGCGCATGGTAAAACCGCCCTGCTGTGTGCGACTTGGCTAGAGAACTCTTATCTACACCACACCAGCATTTTTTTCTCTCTTTTAGATAAAATCATCCTTGGAATGCAATTTGAGACCACTTACGATACACGCTATATCAGTTCATCCAGCATTAGAATATATTAAATATAGAGTCAATATGAATCTTCTTGTTAAGAGTATGAATGACAGTCAAGCGCGATTACACGGTTGGTTATGAGCATCACTCAATCGTACAACGGTGCGTGTAGAGAAGATATGATTAAGAAATACTAGAAAGAAATCGAACACTATATCAAATCAGGATGCGCACATATGCTGCATATATATCTTGTCAGCATTTTAGCAATTGAGGAACCAAAATTAATTAGAGGTTCAAAATAATCCCATAAAAAAGGATTGTGTTAGAGACATATATATGAATCCTGCTTATATGAGGCCGAGTCGTGATTTAGGCGAAATAGAGCTTCATATTGTCTTCTCCACCAGACGAGAGCGGACACGAGAGAAGGGGATACAGGAGTATCGGCTGACGCCACAGTATGCTAAAGATTGCCACGCGCACATAAAAGGGCGCGGCAGACGCCCGACTCAGATCGGGTCTATCACGTGTCACCAGCGGTGATTGTGATTGAAATATTACAGAGAAAACGAGCAATTGAATCCATTCTAGCTACAAATGCGTAATTAATTCAATGACTATGTTACTAAACACCGCATATAGTGTGAACTTCTCTAGTTAACTTCTCTAGTAATCTGACTAAAACCTGAGAGTAAACTCATCGCGGGCTGGTATTTATCCTCCGGGCGCTCTCCTGTCACCTCTCCTGATCTGATCTCGTAGGTCTGGAGCGAGCGGTATCTCTCCTATCCATCAACTCTCTTCACTCAAGACTGTGCTACTCTCTGTCTCTCTTCCTACTTGTGCGTTTAAAGATGTTCAGATGAGGACGGCTCCTGTGTTTGTAATACACTTCTAAGCCAACGGCCGTTCCTCTTAGTCTATGTCACGAAAGGTCTCGGAGGAGTCAAGTGCGTTTAAATATCTTGTCAACTCACTCAGAGTTTAATTTGCAACATTTCAAGAGTACGCATGGCCTTCAGCATAATACCTTCTTGTCTGTATTGATTCTTCATCTACTGAGACATCAACCCACGTGAAGCGAGACCAGAGATATAGAGAGTATTTATTATATAGAGAATTTTTAGAGGCGCACCGTTATAACCGAGTCCAACCGTATTTGGTGATTTAAAATCTGTGAGCCCGAATATCACAGATAGATGTGTCTCTGGTCAACGAACCTCAGCGGTATCAGGAGAGAGTAGACGAGAGCAACGTCTCCATATACTAGAAGAGAGAGAGAGAGAGAAGGATCAGACCCAGGAGACAGACAAAGCAGCAGAGATGTCATGAGTGCAGCATGGAAGAACGGCAGCAAAGAGGTAAGATACTATACAGGTAGAGAAACAAATATCATAATGCAGGAGTTGATTTAAACTTAACACTAAATAGTTTGGTCAGAGAGTGATAGGATCTTCCATAAGCATTGCTTGCTTATAGATCATGGACGCTGTTTCATATTTACTGCTCTGAGTAAATAACTAAACGCAACTCATCGCTCCTCATGCCCGAAGACACAGTGCATCTAGCGGCCGCCCGCGCTCGTCCTTCTCTCGCCCTCCAGCCGGATCATGACCAGAGAGATTAGGAAAGAGAGCGCTCACCGAGGCGAAACAGAACACAATATTTGGGGGCCCTGTGGTCGAGAACCTAAAAGTCAACTATTCAAATGAGATGAAATACCATGTCAAGCAATATTTTTATATAACTATCGGCCCAGTGGTAATCCATAATTGGATGTAAAACATCCTTTTCTATGGATATTTTGCAAACTCCTCATATTGTCCATAAGGCATGGATGGTGTGCAAATAGTTTGAATTTGTCTTCACTTGTAGTTTTATCCTGAACTCTTCTTCGGCCCCTGACTAATGCTAGATTGTTCCTCACTGACAAGATACATCCTGACTTATTCAACTCTTAACAAAGATTCTCATCATTAACGCATTATTTAAATATTAGTGAAAACGACTTGACATGTGTTGTTCCACGGGTAATTGCAAAGATTAAATGTACTAAAAAATGAAACATAAGATTTTTTACAAACAGTGAAAAGAGGTTTCCAGCAGCACAGCAGAGGGGTTGGACAGGGCTTGTGGTTCATCATGTGTCGCCTGCAAAGTGAGAATAGCATGATACAATAAATTAATTAGGTGATATGGTGAACAGTATATGCAATGACTGTGTAACCTAAGACCCCCTCACATAGACAATCACCAGAAACGATATTCAGAACGCCGACGGTTAAAAACAATCTACAGGAGACAGATAAAATATCATAAGAATCGCGAACTGATCAGTACACGGACGTCTACGCCGAATATGTCCTATCACCTGGAGTAGGTTCCAAAAAAAGGAGCAAGATATTCAGAACCACAAAATAACGAGAAGCCATCCTAATAGAACACGGTAACATTCTGCGCAATACAGCGCAGAGTAGGCGGTATATGACGTCCGCACAATAGATATACAAATAAAACGAAATAAAAGAAAATGAAAATACCTTATTCTTAAAAAGGATAAAAAGGAACAGTACCGATAAATAATCTGTGAAATTTGAGTCCACAGAAATACAATAAAATAGAATAAAACAGGAAAAATTGCGTGCAATCACTCCTTATTGTATTTGTGACTTACCGTGTGTATTCTAAAGTATATGCTATTTTCAAACGAGGCTTCGAGGCCGAGGAAATTCCTCCATCATTTTTTGTAATGGAGTTACTCGAGTTACTCGAGGAATCGTTGCAGTCCTATGTGTTTGTGTCACATTTTGTTTTACAGAAAGACAAAATGATTGGATTTTCATATAAAAACACAAACAAGTGCATTTTTTATAATTTGTTTTGTCATACATTGTTAAATATTGGAATGATATAACTGAGAATGTGATCTTAAAGGCTTAAAAGGACATTTTTAATTTCACACTTTAAAAACAGCTCATAAATGTATAGTTTCTTTCTTCATCCCTATTGAAAAGTAATATCCACCTCCTATATTTACCTTTAGAGGTCCACGCTGCTGTTGGATCCGCTCTACAGAGGAAAGTACAGAGCTTCGTCTGACTCTCCTCCTGTAAATCAGCTTCCTGCCATCAGGTAACAACGACTCTCTGTTGTAACGCAGTACAGGACTCGAACAGAGGCAGCCTCATTATTACTGACCTGCTGTGTGTGTGCGTGTGTGTGTGTGTGTGTGCGTGTGCAGCTGGGAGCGGACAGCTCACCTGTACGGTCAGCTGAGCTCTGAGCTCCTGCAGGAGGAGATCAGTGTGGAGAGTCTGTACCTGCTGCTGCAGGAGCTGAGGACGGCGGCTCACCGTAACGTCGCACTGCGCAGACTCTTCTGGAAGGTGAGGCCTTCAAACACATCCTGTAACCTCCTTCACATCGCTCCCTAACCCAGTGGTTCCCAACCTCCTGCCACTGAATAAACTGACTATATAATATATATATAATATGTATATAACAGTAGAGAACAACTTAAACTGTACAATGAACACAAACACAATAACTGCAGGAAGTTTGTGTGAAACGAAGCTGATTATTTTCAGTGAATATTGATCTGAGATTAATTTTCCTGACATTTTGTGGTACTTTTTATACAATTCTGTGTCTGTGTTGTGTATTTTTTTACATTTTCAATCCCAGCGTAAAGGCTCTGTGATTAATAATAATAAGCTTGTGATCAGGTCAGATCTTAAATAATCTAAACCCCAAAATAACGACTGAAATATTCTTATATCGGCCTTTACCCTAAGCTTAAAGCTATAGTATGTACATTTCTGTTGGTTGATAAATTTAATCAGATTACATAAGTAGGAATTATTTTGGATAGAAAAGTGTTTGCTGGGTTGAAAGTACAAGATGCAGTTTCTGCCACTAGGGGGTCTCTCACATTAAAGAAGTCAGAGTAGATTTGAGTGAAGTTTGATCTGCTTGCAGTTGAGTGACGACCTGACTTCCTCTGTTTCAGTCCAGTGAGGTGTGTGTCTTCCTGCTTCAGACTCTGGAGGAATCTCTCCACGGCTGTCAGAGCCTCAGTGGCGTTCACACAGCAGATCAACTCCTGTAAGCTTCAGAGAGAGAGTGTGTGTGTGTGTGTGTGTGTGTAAGCTGCTTGCTGTTTTTACACACATACATTTATATTTATACACTTTCAGCAGTTTAAGAAGGCTTTTGGTGTTAGTGAATAAGTGTTTTCATAATGTCCGTCTGTCTGTTTGGTCGACCGCAGCCTGCAGTGCTGTCCTGATATAGTCCCACGCCCTTTGTCTGAAACTTCAATTTCACAAAGGTTTTATATATATTAAAGTTCAAAAACAGAAAATAAAACTTTTGAAATCTTGCACACAAAAAAAAGAAAAATGATTTCTTAAAATGATTTGTAGGAAAATGGCTTTAAGATCTTTAAAGTTATCTTTAATGTTATATCAGGATTTAACAGTTCCTTTCAGACAGTGAACAACCACCGATCGCTGCGTCTATTTTAAGCCTAATGTTAATAGTTTAGGTCAGTGGTTCCCAACCTGCTTCCTTCAGGGACCTTTTCTATCATTAATAAACTGACTCAGTGACACAATTTATGGATATTTCATTTTATATTCAAACAGTGAACTCAGTAACTGCAGGAAGTTTGTGTCAAACCAGAGATTTGGATGAATTGTGAGCTGATTATTTCCTGTTTAGGGAATTTTTTATACAATTCTCTGTCTGTTTTATAGATTTGTTTAGTCATTTTTAACAGACTTAATAGACAGATTCAGTGTTTTCTTGTCCCTTGTCATTGTTAAGTTAGACAATGTATTTGTCTCACGAGGTGAACGCAGATGCATGAGATGCAGGCCCTACTGTGTACTAGGTTTTTAAGTTTTATATAATGGCATGGAAAATCCAAAGGCTATGTGAAGCGTTTGGCGAGCTAGTGGGGGGTCCGCCGCCTCTGTTGGCCAAGGTTTGTTTGTGTGATTTACTTTTGTTTTTCTGGATAACACAGGCTCCTGCGTCCTCGACTGAGCAACCTCTGATCGTGGCGCACTAAGCATGCATCGTCAAGAGAGCGAGAGGCTGGAACGGCAGAGTCAGCCTGTCTCTGCCAAAAAGTAAACCCCCATCTGGCTGTCTGAACATACTTTATCCTTCGCTGAACTCTCTAATGGATGATCTCTATTTCTGCTGTTTTTGTCCCTGCAGAGGGCGTCCTGGCCTCCGAATGCTGCTGGATTGATTGTGATCCAGAGCTTCAAATCAGAACCAGAGCCTTCCTGCTGACGTGAGGTGAGCTGCTCTCCACCTCCCCCACATGACTCCCGCTCTACGTATCCTATATCCTTTATCTGTAATGTTACCGCGTCGACGTCTCTGTCTCAGGCCTTAGCTAGTGAGTATCTGACGCTGCGCGCCGCCTCTCTGCTGTTCGAGCTGCTGCTGCTAGGCTACGGTGAGAAGATTACCAATCCAATCCAATCCAATCCACTTTATTTATATACGCACGATTTTCAACAAACACAAGGCTTTCCAAGTAGCTGCGCAAAAAGCATAGTACAGAATAACATAGATAAACAATAGACAGGCACAGCATAAAAGATGAGGACACAGTAAAAAATAAAACAATACATAAAATAATGAATAAAACTAGAATAAAATCAAGTTGAAAAATAATAAAAAGCACTGCCCGCAGATAAAAAATATGAATGTATATACATAAAATCAAGCTGTAATGGTGTCAAAGCCGAAGAAAGAGTGGGTTTTTAAGAACGAAGTTTTAAAAATGAGCAAGAGGAGGTGGCTGTCTAGGGAATGTGCAGCTGGCAAAACATTTCAAGTTTTGGGACTGCACGGAAAAGCTCCGATCCCCACTCTGAGCTTAAGCCCTCGGGCTTTTAGGCCACTGTCAGGAGCAGCTGGTCAGCTGACCTGAGACTGGGCTGGGAGTGTAGGGGTGCAGCGCTAGAGAGGTAAAGTGGCACAGGCATTCAAGGCTATTAAAGCTTAAATAAAACAGCAATTTTAAAAATTGAATCCTAAGATGGCGGGAGCCAGTGAGTGAAGCTATAGTGACATGTGCTCATATTGCGGTGCCAGTTAAAAGACGTGAGCGCCAATTTTGTACAGCTGAAGACGAGCATTGAGGACCACTAACCCCAATCATAAAATGCATTAAGTCAATCAGCCGGGTGTCACAAAGGCGTGGTTACTGTCTCAAGTGGGTGTCTCTGAAGGACTGTTTGTCAGTTTTTTTTTTTTTATTTTTTTTTTCATTTTTTTTTTCTGCCAGCTGCTTAACTGGAAAAGCTAGATTTCACTACGCTTTTATCTGGCTGTCAAGTCTTAAGGTCTGAGTCAAGACTTTTAAGCCACCCAAGATTCTTTTACATTGGTTTGCCAATATCGGCGCCTAAAGAACCAGATCAACTAGGGGGGGGCCGTCACAGAAGTGCCACAACCGATTGATTCCTGTCTTTTCTTCATTAACGACAATTCAGAAATTATAAGACATCCAAGCTTTAAAGGCTGTGTAACCACTTTTAGCAGATGGGTCAACAGAGTAGGAATCAGACTTTTTGAGGGGAATAGATCTGGCTGTGCTCGCATAACAGTGACAGGCAATGCATGTTTCCTGAGATCGGAGGCCGAGTGGGTAGATAGTGAAGAAAATAAAGAGGGCCAAGCACAGAGGCCTGGTTGGGACGCACACCTGAGAAGTGGAGCACAGAGTCTCAAGGCTGATACAGAAAGTCCGCTGTGACAGCGTGAGGACAATGAACCATTCCAGCTGCTGGCATGATCGCCACCCACTGCTCCAAAACGAGCAATCGGATTTCATGGTCCACTGTATCACAAAGATGGCTGCAGTCATCTAAAAGTAAAGGCAACACAGGTTGTCCAGGTCAGTAGCTAAAAGTTTCATTGAAAAACTCTTAAAAAGGGCTGATTCTGTGCTGTGGCAATGATTTTAAAACCGGGATCTGGAAAATCTCAGAAGTTTTTGTTCATATTAAAGTCATGAGCATGGGAATAAACAATCATTCTCTAAGATTTTAGAGATGAAGGAAGTTGTAGAGGATAAGAGGCCTGAGGATTTGCCAGAACAGTGGATCCAGCCAGGTTTTTTTTTAACTAGAAAGGCTGACAACTGCATCGGTTTAAACGATTTACAGGGACTTATCCAGAGGACAGACTGGCTATTATAACTGTGGACCCGATGGCACAATAGTCGAGGAAAGAACTCCTTAAAAATCGGGGCGGGACAGTCATAATCTGAGACCTGAGGGGCTTCAAGTGACCCACCAAATCTCCTGCAAAAGGCAGAGGATACAGGAGCCTTCAAACAGTGTGAAACACAGGAGAGCGGGGACAAACACTGAAGGATCAGAGCAGGAGTGAAATAAGTGACTGCTGGTAGATAGCTTGACCTTTATCAATGAACGTATGAAGAAGTTCTACACACAGCAGGGGGGAGGCGCTCACACCCCACACTCTAGAAGTCCCCCTGTGGTGCATTCAGAGCAAGAGCTTGTAACTTTAACAACACTGACAGGGCTTACACAGTTTAAAAGAAGCAATATAGAAAAATATTTTCTTTTAGCCTCTTTCCAAGTAGGATTGGTAAGGACGCAACATCCTCAGTAATGTGAAAGCTATTTCATTTGTGTCTTTTATCAATATTCGCTCAGCTCTTCGAGCAGTCCTGTCGTGGACAGTGCAGGGTTGTTTCATTATACGCAGCCAAGGGCTCTGATTTAGCTTTCTGATGACATGACTCTTTAATGGAAGCCGGCTGTCTATGGCAGTTTGAACACAGGTGTACGCGAAACCGAGTCGCAGTTCGCAGAAAGGCCTGCATGTACGCCTCTCAGGAGAGACCAGACTCGCATGAGCAGTTTCTGAGTGAAGAGCTGGCGGAGAAGTGAGCAGCAGTGGAAGGGTTTATAACTCGACATCTGCGAGGCAGCAGGGCGGGAGGCCGTGTGTATGTGTCGGCAGCAAAGCCGCAGCTTCAAAAGTAGCAAAGGACATACGCTCCGAGAAAAAGCGTCACAGGGACCTCCGGTATAGAACAGGCCAAACTGAGAGTCAAAACAAGATCAAGTGTGTGCCGACAGTTCATGTGTCAAGGCGCAAGTACAGATGACGAGATTAGAAAGGTCATGATGTTTAAAAAGTCTCGGCAAAGGGTTATTCAGGGCAACACACATGAATAATTCACAATCTCCCAACATAAGCGACCACCGA